CTTGTATAACATTTATAATTATTACTATAGTTTTAAAGTCAAATAATTGTTTTCAGAAATTTATTTTATTTTACCCTTAGCGTATAACGATCACTGATCAGTATCTTTTCTAAATACTATATCACAAAGGGTTGGATTGCGAAACACTGGTACATCGTTAAACCGTTGTTAAACTATTACAAGGACGCAGTATAACTGAGTGTCTTTTGTCTGACAATTAATCAAATTGAAATTAATTAAACAGTTCTCATGTCCCTATCTTTCTTGGCTTTCTGATGACAGTTAAAATCACATCCTTCGTACAATCTTAATAGATCAATTTTGAATTATCGCAGTATTTGCTGTATTTATATTGTAATGTGCTTCTCTCACTTGTTATAAATTCAAAAATCAAAACATTGATTGGATTCTTTCTAATTTAATTTAAAATACTAATTATCAGAATAATACTATAGCCTATAGGGTACTTTAAAATTCATCTTGTTGTTTCAAAACAAAAATACCTTCTTTATTTATTTGTTTGTCCTTGCAGAATTATCCACCCACAATTCCAAGATTAAGGCAAGTAGTATAACGACCAACAGACACCAAATGCGAAAATACGATAACCTTATCGGTTATCTCCCACTGAGATTTAATACTGTTTTCGAGATTGAAGAAAGTGAATACTAAATATGATTCCAAAATTTAAACCAACGATTAATTACCTAATTATTTTTTATCTTTATTTTAAAATGCCCCTAACAATATTAATAATAGTTATTATTATGATTATATAAATCAATTTAAAACAAAATCATAATCAATCTTGTAATAATAAATAGTTATTGAACTTTCAAATAATTTTCAAAGATAAGTATAAATTATAATTTTACACCCATGCGTAAAAGTTAATGTTTATTAATATTTTACTAGCTTAGACGCTTAGTAAATAGTAATCATAATGTGATATTTATATTATTCCTTTCAAACTCATTAAAAACAAGCTTGAAACTTTTAGTTTAGCTATATAGTTCACTTGATTGATTTTTACTTTTTTATATTTGAAAAATTACTATGTAAGTTCTACGACATGTCTACATATAATTTTCAATAGCTGCCATTTTTTGGTTTTCTCTTATTCTTAAACACTGAGTTCATTAAAACAATTGATAGTAGGTACATTAACCATTTAGTAAAATATGGTTAATTAGCTAATATGGAGACATTTTTTAACACTATATTTAATTAGTTATTATTCTTATTATTTTTTTAATAGTTTTCTTAAGTATATATTTTTACCTTCGCGCAATCAAATTAGAATATGGTAACCAATCATAAAAAATTTTATTAGCATTTTTTAAAAGTCGATATTTTACAAAACAAGATTATTATAATGTATTCTAGTTTTGACAGACATTTTTAATGCCGCAGAAGATAGTATACTTATTTATATAAATTAATACCGTAAAAATTAACATTTGCTGGAATTATAAAACTATTAAAATCGTTCGATAGTCGAAACAACAAACTATGAATTGCAATTGTATACGATCATTTAAAACTCTAGTTTTATAGTACGGCGAGACCAATTAAACTATACGTAAATTGTAGGTATGACATTAATTTTTGAGTCCTTGAGAATAGAATTAACATTTTATAAGACGATGTAAGCATTATATGTATTTGTATAAAACTGTGTTATACACGCTTATAGTCAAAACTTCCTGAACAATAAAAATTGTTATCAAAAATCGTCTTCCTTATTATTATGAAAATATGTCTACTTTAATATAATATTAGATAGGTATTTACATAAATAGATAAATATAACAAGTCATTTATGACATTTCCGAATTGCAGAATTACTGTGGTAATAAAACCTTATAATGAATGTTGAACATCATGTTCTGTGGTTTTTGAAATGCCTAAGTAGTTGGGGGTATGCGACTATCATTGTTTATTCTTGATATTTTTAATTTCGCCACAAATCATGGACATTTTAATAAAGCCTTAACCTAGAGAACTCAATTAATCAATATGACGTCAGTTTTTACAAATTGAAATGATTTGCATTTTTTTCTCTCCGGCGCAGAATAAAACATATTCACTGCACACAAAAGGAGATCCACCTCGATACACGAGCTTTATTGTAATCTGCAAATATAACAATACGAAAAAAACTAATTATATACCAATGGTGTTCGTTGTTGAAAAAAACATACCTTTTAAAAAAAAAAAATATGTATTTTCATGCCAAGCGCATTTCAGAACTATAATAATAATAAATTAATGTTTGTTATGGAGAAAAAAATTCAGATTAATATCACATCAATGCTAATGTAAAAATTGCATTGACAGCGCATTGTTTTATGTATCACATATATTATAATATACCTATGATACATATACATGTATGATACGCCGTATATGTGTTTAACGAGTAAATGAGTTATTTTAATTTATTTATAACGTGTATGATACTCGTAAACATTACATAAGAATTATTATTATTTTATTTTTTTAAATGATTATTACGAATATTGAAGGTCATGTCGTAGGTGCAATTAAAGTAAACGTATTCGTTATAAACGCGTGTGTATATACTATATTGTATTGATACAACACCGACATCGTACATATGCGAATAATAAAATATTATCATAGTTTCAGTATAACTATTTATGTATAATGTATGTAAACCCAAAATGTATACTAAAAATTAGATCGATCAAATGACCAATGGATATGAGAATAATAGTATTTTATAATTAATTTATTGTTTACATATCTTAGGTTAGGTATACCTACATGCAATCAACACATAGTAAAATTGGCATTCTTACATACTAAGTATATTCAAATTAAAAAAAAAAAATGTAAAAACAATTTTAAATTGAAAAACAATGAACATGTATGGATAATTTCTGGGATTCCCATCACATGTAGTCAACTCGGAAATTAATTATCGACAAATAATTCATATTTTATCGTTATACACCAATACATAACCTAACCTATATCTTCAACAATTTTATTATTTTATTATAATGTTAAAATGATTTAATTTCGTTTACAGTACCAGCTTCTTTAATTGATATTTTTTTAAACTCTTTACTCACACGATTACATAATGTATACAATATAAGTGTATGTGCGAAGAGATGTCTGGTTGATTGTGGGTGGATGAAGCAAGCAAGAGCCAAGGGTCCTCTTCCGTTGAAGGCACTTTGGTCATTAAATAATATGAAATAAGATAATACTTACTGGCAGAACTAACATCATTGTATACAGTGCGGAAATTAAATAAGACATTGAACAATTAAATGTTACATTTTATATTAATGGAGTGTAATTTTATTTTACTTATATTACCTAGGTAGTGGTTAGTACGGCATGACATTTAAGAAACTTAAACTTTTAAGAGTTGACTGTGTGTAGCCGTGTAGGTGTATACAATTTTTCATACGGCTTGTATAGTGTTGTATCTTCTCTCTTTAATTTTTTTTATTCATAAAATCAGAAAATGTAGTGATGTTGGTAAAATGTATATTGTATAGAATATAGTGTCAATGACTTAACAATCTTAAACTAAACAAACAGCTTAAAAAAACCAATGGACATTTAACTCTTATAGAACTCCTCTATTGTTGGTTGTTACCCAATGCACAATCACCTTTATGGAAAAAATAAATTTTATAAATATCGGCAAAAATGTGATCCATTAATAATAGCTTAAAATAATTGCTGTATTAATTCTTGTCGATAATATTTAAATATGTTATTTTATATTTAACAGTTCATAAAGCTTTCTTTCAGCGTGGGTTTATTATAATAAATTTAGTGTTCATAATTAGTAATTAGCTACTAAATAGGTACTAATCACTATAAAAAATATACATATTAGTTCGACGGTCGTTACTTCCACGGCTCCATAGTTCATTTAATATTTAAATCATTGTCAGCATAATAATATATTATCGTCTAAAGTGTTACTTTTCTTATCTTTTGTTGATAATATGAAATATACAATCACTATAAGGTGTTAACTATATTATTTATTTTATAAATACTAAGATTAACTATTATATTATTATTATTATTAATATCATCATCACATTTGTGTGGATGGATACAATAATAAAAGTTATCATTACAATATCACGTATATACAATAATAAAATATGAAGTAAAACATTATTATTTTCGCCATTTTACACTGTACATACATATAATACATATTTTATATTATTTAGGAACAGCGAGGTCGAGCGAAAAGTTGCTCTAATGCTGTATATTATACAAATGTGACCCTTTTAACAACGATACATTATCCATGTGCATCATCATTATGTAAAACGATGTTAGCAAAATGCTTGTTCGAGGTACTTCGTGGGCAGTTGGACGTCCAATTTTAAACGCTAAATTAGCGTTTAATAAACAAAAAATTAGTAAAGCACATCAAAAATAGCATTAAGCGAATGGTATAATGTTGACCGAAATTGAATATACTGAAGGAATCAATGCCAAAAAAACAAAACAATTAACATACGTGACATAATATTATAATAATAGGCGCCTACACATAATATCGATATTAAATCGTCGTTAGGTATTTATTATACTATACTAATTATAGGGATGAGTGGATATTCGTAGCAGCCGTAAGTAGATTGTAAGTGCAATAATATAATATAATATGTACACAGGAGATAAAGTGCTGCTTGGTTTATAAAAATGGAAATTATATTATTATGTATTGTCGTACATTCGTCAACGTCCGCAGAGCCTATACACGGCTAGGTATAGAAAATTAGGATATAAAACGCTAAGTGTTCGAACGCCAATCTACACATTCATATATATTAGATTTTTGCGCACAATTCACAGAACTTTGACGTGCCTATAGTTATTAGTTATTAGTGTCCGTCCAACGTTCGGCGCGTTATCAACTTAATATTATATATTGTAACAACTGTAAAGTAATCGTAGTATAAAATTTTGTCGTTTTTATGTTTCAGTTATGTCCAGTGATGCGAACAGTTTGAACGATATATATCAGGGGTTCATTAACAGCAGCGCAAGTGAGTTCATCCTTAAAATATTATATTATTATTATTATCCGTCTTAATTTTTGAACATCCTGCCTATATCTTTATCGCAGTGTTGTACTGATGTGCAACTGTTAAGACCTGAAAAAATTCTCCTCTTTCAGATAAAAAAAAATTATCAAAATCTGACATATCTACCCCCCCCCCCTCTCACCATACATAGGTATCAGACAGTAGATTAGTGGCAACGTATTATTATTAAGGTAGCAACTATAAAATACAAAATATAATTTTCAGATTTAATAAAATTGTGAGAAATTGGAAAAACCGGCACCGACACCCATAGTGATTATATACACTGCCTAGCTATAATTTATAATTTTAAACACGTTTGTAAAATATAATATCATCATGATCGGCCACCCGCGAGTTATGCAATACCGCGGGTACAGCGTAGACCTTATAATTATTTGTGTATGGCTAACGTTCAATTATTATTCGCCCGTGTGAGTATGTGTACTACGTCTACTTATCGCGGTAATTGTATACACATTGAATGCTAATATACTGGATTCGATATTCATATTATATTGTAATATTATCATCGGTAGGTACCCTGCACATAATAATATGATGTATTATCATGCATTTTAGTACTTCGGAACATCCGCGCGATCGCAGTAAAATTGAAACAGTCGATCGGTAAAACTACAAACAGTAAAATCAAACTTCGAATAGCGTTTTTGCACAAAGATTTTCAGCTCTCGCGACAACACCGTTCGTGATTCGTGCTGTTCGTACCGCGTTCAAGTCTATTATAACAGATAGATATACCTAATATAATAATTATTATTACCGGTCGCAATTATTATTATACGAGTTGCGAAAATATGACTGCTAATAATAATAACAATAATTGATACCCACACGCAGAACCACTCGCGGTACTCGGGGTTTTCATTTCGTAATGGATGGTACGGGTGCGTTGTTCGTAACAGCATAATATATTATTATAACTGGCTTCTCGTCGGTGGCGTGTACATGGGTATTATAATATAATATTGTGTACCTACTGCAATACTGTGGCCCGTTATTACAAAAATTAAACCGCGTTAGTATAATAAACCTAATATAATATTATTGTGTGTACCTACGTTTTACAAAATTAATGGAATTTCGAATAGAGTTTGTGCAGCGCGTCAGTGCGGCAGTCGGGGAGCGGATTATCTGCGAACGAACCTATTATGCCTCCAATATACATTATTTCGCACGGGCAGTGCATAACGGTTTTTAGGATGTACGACTGTGGCGGGACGAAAGAAAATTAAACACGTTAACTGACCGGCTACGGCTTTTATTTAAGGGGCAACAGTTAGGCAGTTTCTAATCTTGGAGCCACCTCCTGGGATCTACGAGTCTTAGTCGCAAAAGGTTATTAGTTTGAGCTGGTACCGACGAATTCTGACACTCGTACATGCACATGTCAATAACTCGACAACAGTATATATATATTTATGTATACAATTCACTTAACAAACTTTACGGCTACTTAATCTAGCTACTAGTCTCGACAAGGTTAACATTTTGGACTTGGAAAATAAGATTTCAATTCAGTTGAATTTCTGTTTTAATTTTTGTTTTAGTTACAGTTATGATTTTATAGAATCCATTGTTTCGATTTTTTAATTACAGTACAAAATTTAATACAATATATGATTAAATGTTTTTAAAGTGTTCCGTACAATCTATAGATGTTTTCCGCTAAATTCAGATCATTTTTCCACAATTAAAATCAAACAGTGTATACTAACTTAAGTTTTGTCAAAACTTTAGGTCATTTAAATTGAAATTTACGGCAGTTACTCGGTGGCCGTTGGTTTATCGGTCTCGACCCTTGGGCAAAGTCTATCGATGCGTGTTTTTCTGCGGAGACCCCGAATTGTTATTAATAATAACTTATTATATTATAAAGATTCCCCGGCCGTCCATCGAGTTCCTGTTCAATGTATTGTAAAGTTGTAACCGAATGTGTGTGCTTTTAAAATTTAAAACCAGAAACGACCATCGATAGTGTTTACCGCGGTATTCACCATTATTTCATATTGACACAGCCGTTGCGCGTCTTGCCTGCAATAATTAATAATAATGAATCGAAGGTGTTTGGCATAATACTTTTTATTGTAGCGAGCGTCAACTGAATTGTACGATTCCTCCTTACGGATAGGCAATATAAACGACATCCACACGTGCATTTAAACTATCTATGTTTCAACGGAGCTATTTCACGTCTTGCAATATTATTATGTACAATTATATTTTGTTTATAACACGTGCCCGGTATTCGTGATCGCTCGTCCCAATTCCGTCCCAATTATTTCAGGGGGAGGGGAGGTTATTAAACTGCAACCTTTACCTACACCCACCTAAATGGTTGAATTACACTCGGGTTCAAAAAAAGGGAACGTTCAAATTACACTCGATCCGTTCATTTCATACACAACTTTAACTATTAATTTTAACTGACAATTAGCATGAGTCTCGACTGTCAATCGATGTAATATCTCGACGTTATTTAACGATTAGTACGTAACTAATTTAGAAATATAGGTACTTAAATAAATATTTTTATGTTATCGTTTTTAAACAGTAACTATGTCATTTAAAATTGTAGATATTTATTTATTTTGAAAAAAACTCATTTTTATGTTATTGTTAATAAATAAACATATTTTTATAATATTATTTTTAAATAAAATGTAGCTATAATGCTATCTGTAATTGTATTATAAATAAAAAAACAATAATTTTTAGATATTAAAAATATATTAATTATATTTTTACATAATATGCATGTATACATTTATTCCGACCATCGACTGATTAGGTTTCATGTAAATATCAGAACTACTGAAGTTCGAACATATTTTCCTTTTTCTGCCCCGAGTGCATTATTTCGATGTTACCCTATTTTAGATCACACACCCACTCACTCGCAGTTGTCATGATAACAATAATATTATAATGTCTTTGAACGGGAATGATTGTCGGATGGGTCCTATAACGTTCTCACGGCTAATAAGAACATTGCAATAACAATAATATCTGTTTTTATTTAAAAAAAAAAAAAATGTTGGCTAATAACCTTTGTAGTTTGAGCCAGTAAACTTTTAAATAAAAAAAAATAATATTATTATTATATGCAATGGAGTGAGTGGGCCTTGGTGTCCCTAAAGCCTATAGGATGTGGAGGTCCCCTTAAACACAGAAATTGTAACAATAAAATTGTACATTTTAAAATGATCTTCTCCGGCCTTCGTCTGATTATAAAAAAAATTATAATTTTTCCGGTTTTTTTTCTTATGTCGCGACAAAGTATATTCTGTGCCTTCCCCCCCCCCCTCCCCCCAATTTAGACCTAGACCTCAGATGCTCCTGCCTAAATAAGCCACTGATAATAATATACTCCTGTAGAGACTAGATAGGTATATACTAGTGTATGTAATGGGTAATGTTCGGGTCATTTGTGTAACACACGCTAATTACCCGTACGCCACATATTATATAGGTGTGTGACAATAATAACGACGTTGCGTAATGAAATTTCATAAACGAGTTAAACGACTGCGGTTGCACTAGGTACCTATATAGGTAATAGGTATACCCATTACATATATACACACATAATATATATATATGTATATTATTGTATTAAACAAGCAGAAGATCCACCGAAAACATTGCAATGATTACGTAATGTCACACGCCACGGTCGCGACGGATAACGACGATGGGTAAATCATTAGTGGCTCACGGGTTGTGTTTGTTAATAATGTACTTCACGACGTACATAATATTATATACATTAAAAAGCAATAATATAATATTTTTATCCTTTGTTCTCACGACGGCAAGCGCGTGATTTTATAACACCTTGGTGTAATTTTCTTTGTTTACATTGTAAACTTTACAACCAGAGGAACATGTACAGCCGCTGAAAAAGAATCATATACACACGTGCAGGACGACATCACTATAGTTAATCAATATTATACTCCACCGAGGAGTAGATATTAATACGTCAAATGTTGTACATAATTATATCTTATATGCATTAGTTTGGCGTCATAGGTACATATTGTGCTTACTGTGCTAGGGTTAGATGTTTTTGATTTCTGAAAACCTGCTCCAACGGTCTCCCGCGCCCAATATTATAATATGAGAAGGTTATACTATTACAATGCATACAATAAGGATGTCGTGACGTCGTCCCGTAGTTATAATACGCGTCTAGCTGATAATGTCAAACTTCATATAAGATATTTTATTTAAAAAAAAATGCTTTTACTTACGAAATCAACAATAATAATAGAGTTTGTGTTATTTGAGACACGGGTATTAATTTTGAATTTGATTTTTATTTAAAATTAAATGTAGGTAATCTGCAATTTAATAAACATCTTGTATAGATGCAATAAGATGCTTGCAGCGGGCTTATTAACATAAATACTTAGAATTTTAATAATATATTTCGTTTATAAATACATTTTGTACAATCCTCCAGTCCTGTGTTAAAATTTCGTTACATAATTTAGTCTCAGAATTTGCCAACTAACAGTAAAGACCTTAAACTTTAGAATACGAGTTTTTCAAAAGAATAACATTTGTTTCTAATATACCTATATGCTATATTATATGTATATATAAAGAGAAAGATATTTTCCAGAGTTCAATAAAGGTCTAGTGTCGCTTGCCAGAAGGCATTTAGCGGAAATTATTTTTTTTAAATTTATATTATAGTCATAACATTATCGAGCTATGTTCCATCATATATTTCTAGAAACAAGAAGTTATTTCTCATTCCCTATTATTTGCTACTATATCATTATTATTATGAAAAAGTACGATGCTGATTATTTCCCCCCCTCGATCTTTAAATTTAACTAATAAACTATAAATGCATACAATTTCTATTATTTTAGTATTTTTTTTTATTATTATTATCTACTCACAATAGCTTTAAATACGACGTAAGT